GTCTTCATGTTGTATAGAGAGATCTCTTAAGACCAAATGGTTTACCTCTAAAATAAAAGCTCTTTCCATGTCAACCATCCGCAAATTGCCAAGTATGAAAACTGTTAATTTTTCGTCGCTTCAAACGCTTTATATTAACTCGTCATTTTTCAACAATGATATTAAAGATGTTGAATATATTCTTAACACTACTTCTCTCAAAAGAGTATTTATATATTACACACAAGAAAGTGTTGTTTTTGAAGACTGGACGTCTTATTTCAAGAAACGTGAAAATGTCGATTTCATCTTTAGTATTTATTGTTGTGTTGAACCAGAAATTGTTTCAAATTTGCCCGCCAATGTCCACGTCTCATTTTTCATATTATGCAAAGCGTCAGAAAAATATCAATGTTTCCCATTGGCTAATATGATTTTAGATAGAACTTATACTTCTCAATTAAAAACTATTTTGAAAATCGAACAGTCATTTACTTTGGGTTCGGAGTACATTGAAAAGTGTGTCAAACAATCATTAGTCACTGATTTGTTATTTTTGAATATCAATAAGAACGGTTTCGGGTTTAACAAACAATTCGTGAATGAACGAGAAAATGACAAATTTAGTTCAACTGATTTTTCCAATTGTGAAGTGAAAAATGTCGAAATTTTGAATTTTTCATTTGATAAAATGACACTTCCATCGTCAACTCAAACACTTCAAATTGATAATTCAAATGGCACTATTACGGGAAATTGCAAAATTACAGGGTTACAAATTAAAAATTCAAATGTGAATCTTTGTGATATAGACGACGAACAGTTGAACAATTTTGTCTATTTAAAAAGTGAGATTTTGAGTATTATTCACAACAACATTAAACATGAAAACAAACTTTTTTTGGATTTCGACAGATATACAAATTTTGAATTTTGTAATGATAAACCAATGACTATTGTGTTCATTAAAAATGGAAAAGAAGTTGGAGAGGCGAAACTTAAACAAATAAAATACAACTCATCAGACAAAATGTTGGAAAATATTGTTATGGGAAGGTCCGTCCACTTTTTTAAAGAAGCAGAAGCACTTGAAAATATCTTTGTTGAATGTGGATTTACAGTATGTGAGAATAATTATAAATTCCCCCGCTTCAGAGATGTTAATATGACGGATAAAGAGATTAGAAAAATAACGATAAATCACTTCGAATTCACATTTTGAATAAATTCATTTTTATTTTTTTAATTAAAATTGTCAAATTAAAAATATTTTAAATTTAATTGACCATTAATTTTTTATATTTTATTTATTTTTATTGTTTGTTTTGTTTTAATTAAAATGTTAAAAAAAAGCAAAAGCAATGATTGATTTAAAATTGAATAAGGAACTTTTGAGTGATTATTTCTTCTCCCTTTTCATTATATTCTTCTTTGGTAAGACTTCTTTCTCCAAAAAAATGACTTTGTGATATTAAAGAGCCACCAATCCATGCAGCAATTTTAGGGTCTTCATAAGTTTGAAACTTGTATGGTCTTTGAGAATTCATATTTTTAAGTTCCTTTTCGAGTCTTGCCTCAAACCCATTGATCTTCGTGTTACCTCCACCCAACACTATATTAGACGCTAATAGATTTCTTATATCATAATCTAATTTCTCAATACCTTTAGATACAAATTCTTGAATACCCTCAGCTGTTATATCAATAACAGCTAGATTGAAAAGAGCTTCTGGGAAGCCATACCTTTTTCTTGCAATTATCATTTCTTTACCATCTGGCAATTTGTAACTTTTCTCAAGTTCTTTCACGTCTTTTTTGATCTCATCGTTGACATCAAGAGCTGTATAAAATAAAGTTTCTTTGATATTTTCAACAGCTTTTTTCATTTCAGGAGTATTTAAAGAATACCCTTTACCATTCATTCTCTTGATGAAATTTTGAGTCAAATCATTACCAGCAAAATAGTGCTTAAATTCGATGCATGGCATTGAATATCCATCATACATGACACCAATTTGGGTAACTCCATCACCAGACTCAATACAAAAACCACATCTTAAATCCTTACCAATAATTGTAGAATAAGTTGAAGGACACATTAGAAGCGAAGGTATTTTGTTATTCTCAAACATAATTTGTACTATCTTATTTCGATCATTTTTTGGATTCATAACTGGTTCAATATAAAGAAGTGGGTGCTCCTTTGGTTTGATTTTTAATTCATTGTAAAATACACGGTGCCAGAGCTGCTCCATTGTATCCCAATTTTTAATAAGACCACGTTCTACAGGGGAGATGCCATTTTGAATTGTTGGAATAACAGATTTTGGATTTTCGCATTCACCCATTCCTATTTTGGTTAAACTTGAACCATTGTCAATCACAACTGCCATGACTCTTTTTGAATTGAAACTTGTAATTACCATTTAAATAACAAATTATTATTGTGTAATAAACTACACAATGTGTAATTTTTATGTTTGATAAATTGTAATAGTTTTTCATATTTGTTTTATTCATGTTGAAAAAAATAAAATTGAATTGGATTTGAAATTGATTTTCAAGTTTAATGTATATAAGAATAAAATATTGTATATATAAACTAATTTGAAAATAACCTTATGGTTGCTGTTGAAAAACAAAACTGAAACTAAATACTGATTATCACATAATGGCACCCTTGTCATTTTTATTACATTTCCTAAATTCGAAATAAATTTTCGAATTTAAATACCAAATAAAAAAGTCATATCATTAAATTAATTATAAAGACCCTCATATGAAATAAAAACAAGTTTGAATTGCATATCAGAACAATACAAATCAGTTTATTTGATGTTATAAAGTCTACATTTCTAAGAATTTGTTCAAACAGTGAATCACACTTGAATTGAATTTTTATGTTTTTTTTATTTTTTTATATTTTTTGAATGGTTTTAAAATAAATATTATTTTAATTACTCTACCGACACTGTAAAGTTAAAATGGAATTACATTTTATAATCAAATACAAAAAACCAAAAATAAAAATTGAAAATATCCAAATGCGACCTAGTAATTTACCGTCGTGGCATATAAACACTCTTCATTACAAATATTAACAATAACAAAAATCGAAATAATCTTTTTTTAAACATTTTTATATGTAAAAACAAAACAGATAAATTTAAACAACACAATTTACTCATAATCAACAGATAGCAATGTCAGTAATAAAAGATATCCTGAACATATTGTGGCAAACATTTGTAATACTCCAGATGTTTCAAAATAATTGGTGCGAGAGATATCAATCAATACCATTACAATTGAGGATAAAATTCACTGACATAAATGTTGATCCTTTTAGTCTTTTGACAAAATGTTCTGAAAGTTCTGTTTTTCGACAAGATGCTTTGGTCGTCCAGCCCAAAAATTCAATTAAAAATGAGACACAAAGCAAAGATATATTGTTTAGAGAGTAATCCATTTTAGGATAATTTGTATGGCCTCTCAAGCACTTTTTGGCGACTGAATGACAATATTTCATGTTTAGAATCAATTTGTGAGATTGTGAGACTATATGACAAGTAATACTCGTTGCCATTCATTAATTCCCTTGTTGTTGAAGATTTGGAATGTTTCTGGAGTTTGGGTAACGTATGAGCGCAGGACTGGGTGAGAGAATACTCAGGATTGGATGCAGAGATGTGATTATTTTGCGACCCTATCATGAGCCAGCCAACATCGCGGATTCACAGTTTCCGTGTGGTTACTTTATTCAATATATTTAATAAATAACATATACTAAATGTACATTTAATAAATGATAAGAAACAACCTTGTATATCATTGTGATTGATTATCAAATTCAAGTTTAAATATCAAGTTTTTTTCTTTTTAATCTTTGTGTTTACCATCGATAAAATTCGTTAAGATATTTATTGATGATAATATATATCAACTTTTTTATCAAATTGATAAACAACATTATAACCCATTTTTGTATTTTTTAATAATTTACAATTATAAGAATAATATTCTATAATTTTAAAAATACAATATGCTTTATTCAAAAAATACAATGTTAATTTTTTAATTATAGTAAAGACCTGCGAAATACCTACATAAACCACGTGGCATTTTTATATTAGAAAAAACTTAAAAAGAGAAAAAATAATTTGTAAAATGATAAAAATGGTTTGAAAATCCAAAAACGAACAATTTTTTATTTGACCAATAAAAAAGGCAAATTTAAGTTTCGAACCATCTTTTTGATAATTCAAAGTTATATTTTTTTCAAAGAAAAGTCCAAACTAATGCATCAAACTGTTTTTTGACCAAACATCATTTTAAAATGAAAGATTTTTTTTGTTTTTTATGAATAAATGATAAAATTTGAAAGATGTGTATTTTTCGAAGACACATTTTTTTATTTTTTTGAAAAATATGGTTCTCATAACTTCGGATTGTGTGATCGAGAAACCGTGGAATTCAAGAACCAATTTAATATAAACTTCATAAGCAGATTTGATATTCAAATATTTGTATTTAAGGCCTTAAACGCACAAATAAATCAAGATGTGTCATTTCAAAAGACACATCTTTTTTATTTTTTTCTATTTTCCATTTTTATTTTTGAACACACGTTATTATTTCGTTAAGTTTACTCTTTAATTATTTATTTCAAAATCATCAATACTATGATGAAATTGAAATCTATTATGTGAAATAACAAACAATAACAATTATAAAACTATTTATGTTTTAGCTGGTATAAAAGCAGTGAAAAATCACCTTATGTGTAAATGATTAAGGCAATTATGTTACTTGGTTTTATCATAAGTTAT